CACCGCAACGGTAAGACCGGAGTCGGTGTGAGCCACGCCTAACTCCGGCGCTATCTACTGACCCCTCCCCTTCCTCATTTTTGAGGAGTGAGGAGGAGTGGACTATCGCATCAGGTAGTCAGCATGCATCATTTTGTACTTCTGCAGCTTTAGAGCCCCGTGAGGAGTTAGAGGAGTTAGCAAGGTAAAAAAACCCCACATCTTATGTTGGGGGAAAAGCTCGAAATGGAACTCGCGCAACACCCGCAGTGTGGGAGTATTTCGGATTCAAACCAAATGACAGAGGCGAACTGCTGAACCTATGTCGCATTTGTCATAAAACAGTAGCAACTAAGAGCAGCAATACAACCAACATACACATACACCTTAAGCACAACCACCCAGCAAAGTTTCTCCAGCTGGAAACAAAAAGTACAAGCGGTGGCCCGTCTGTGTCTTCAAGTTTGCGACAGTCCACCATCACTGAAGCAATTAATCGACAGGCAGCATACAAAAAGGACAGCGCAAAGTGGCGCGCGCTCACATACAGCATAGTTCATTTAATTGCTAAAGAGATGCTTCCATTTAATATTGTTGAAAAGCCCGCATTTCGAAAAATGTTGCAGACATTTGATAGACAGTATGAAAACATACATATCACCAACGTGATATTTTGTATATACGTTTTTATTGTCACTGTGGTCTTATCTTGTGTTTAGTTTTTATTCAAGTGTATTTTAAGTTAACAGAGACTGAGAGTCCATTTAATTTTTATTTTCTCATTTTATTTTGTTAACCAGTTCCAGTGTTAAGTGTTCTGTTGAAAATAAAGTGTTGATCTTTGGCAGGAAAATGCATGCATTATTGCGTCATTTCCATTAAATCAGTGTAAAAAGGTCTTCAAACAATATTATCGTTTATCGCAATAATTTTTGAGACAATTAATCTTTCTGCAAAATTTTTTATCGTGACAGTGCAAAGCAAAATATAAAATAAATAATAAGTAAAGGTAATATTCTTTTGGGATAATCTTATTGATAATATTTGTCTGTTATACCCTAATAATAACTGCCTGTTATGTGTTAGAACTAATCTAGTTACTTACAGTATCTAACTAGGACAATTCAAAAGTAATCTTCATTATGTACGTGTCAATGATTTGTTATTGGAATGAGAGTGGTGTCTTTGATCTAAGAACATAGTGTTATATTTTGATACAGCTGGAGCCATAGATGTTTCCTCAACTGCAAACATGTATCATGTAATTATGTAATAAATTAATGATGTGGCAGACTGGAGATGTATAAAACACTTCTCTGTGATTCGAGGCCACTTCAATGAGAGGTGAGCCTGGATGGTAAGAGCTGCCTTCTGTAACTAAGCAACTTCTCTGATCCGAGTAAGATCAAAGCAGCTTTTAATCAAGCAATAGATCGTTTATATATATATAAATACTGAGGAGGTAATTAAGACATTTAAAAAATAAAACATTGCAGTAGCAAAACATTAAAGATGTTTTGCTACTAATTCTAAAAAGTGAAACTTATGGTGTCAAGCCATGATCAGCTAATTTATTGTCTAATTAACACCTACAAAGTGGTGTTACCAAATGGTGTGTCAATCTGGGTCAGTAGAGGACAGAGTCAAGGGGGAGAAAGCTGAGCAGACAGATATTTGAAAAATGGTGAGTGACTACCTAAAGGAGGGGAACCCACATCAGGTCATAGCAATAAGCTGCTTGTCAAGAGTTTTTGTATCCAAGCTTTGGGATAGATAGTTGATGGGAGGGAAAATGTGACACAAAAAGGTCCTTCAGTAACAAGAATAAACACAGCTTTTAAAGGATTGTCATGAAAGCTTAAAATGAGATGCTGGCTCTTTTTTTTTTTTTTACTGTGTCTTGTCTGGCAATGTGGCAATGACAATTATTGTCTTGATGCCAAATAGAGCTCAACAGATTTTACTTTCACACATGGAGCAGTACGGCTATAGCCATAGTGTTCCGTTTGATTTATGCATATGAATAGCTTTATTATAATTAATGCAGGGAGAATTACAAATTATACAGACACTGCAATGGGAAAGTAGAAGAGGAAAGGAAAAACAAGAAAAAGGAGAAAAGGTGAAAGAAAGAATGAAACGTCTTCAGTCTGCTTCATCACCTGCAAAGAGATGTAAAAAGAACAGCACAACCAACAGATATAGTATAAGAGATACAATAAAGTAGCAGCTTGATATTATCGATGAAGTATAAGTAGTATTATTCAATCTGACGTGTATATTGTGGTAGCTGAAGATCAGAATATGGGCTTTCTGTATGGAAATGAATCTCTAAGTACCTGGAACCAAGCACCTGTTGCTGTTTGTGAAAGTGCACTTATGCATGTAAAGTTTATCCAAAGGAAAAATGCTCCACAGTCGTTGTGAAGAGCCAAAGACTCGTACCCCCAGAGCACCGAGGCGGGCACCGGGGGAACCCCAGATGTCCAAAGGACGCCCCAAAGTAAAGGTGCCCAAGAGTAGGTACACAGGAAATCTAACCCCCCAAGGGAAGAGGAGAGATTGCCCCTAGCAAATCCCCTAGCCGCAGCAATTCTGAAGCCCCCTGGAGCCATGGGGACAAGCCCGCGGGCTCCGCTGGCAGCAAGCCACCCCAAAGGTGAACCGGCCATGGGTCCCGTCGGGGGGCCGGGCTCCCTTGGGGCCTTGGGGAGCGTGGCCCTTTGAAGCAGCCGCCAGAAA